TCGGATATCAGAAGCGCCCGTCCGCCGGCGAGAGGCCTTTTCCACGTGAACTACGGCTACATTGTCACGAGGAAGCGCCGTATTTCTGAGCGTAAATGATTGTCCACCGGCTTGCCGTTAGCATTGTTGTTAAAGCTTTAAATTTTGCAGTTTTTGTTCATAATGTATTGTAAATAAATATTTATTTATAAAGATTAGAAGCGGACCAAATGAGTCGTTACAAGAACCGCGCGATTAGCACCAAAAGCGAGCCGAAAATCGTTGGGATGCTGCCGGCGCCCCACGGATGGTGGTGTTTTGGGTAGGCGCCGCCGCCGATGCCCGAGTTTCCGTTGTTTTGATAGGCTGAAAAGGTATTTGGTGGTTTTTAAAAGTATTTAGGTTGGGCAAAAGGAGAATGATGAAAGTTTCGAAACCTACGCTGCGAATTTGCGACGGCACCGCCTCCAATGTTGCTGCGGCCGGTGTCACCTAGAAATCACGGTCTTTCTGGCAACTTCAGTCGACTTACGATTGCAAAGGCTGTGGAAGCACTCGTCGCATCGTCCGTTGTAAATTCCGGCCGTTTCCCCTTGACAGTTACGGGTGCAGCCCTTTCTTTGTACTAAAAAAATGGCTATATAGCGAGGGTTTAGGTTTAGCCTACCTGTTCCGTCAGCTCGGTACAGCGTATAGCAACGGTTCGTTGGGTCACAGCGAGCCTCCATCTGCGAGTAGGCGCAAGCAGGACCATCACATGCTTGGCAAGTTAGGCCTAAAATCGGCGAGTTTAATTTTTTTTTTTGACGATGTTTCTCGCTAGGTTTAAGATATTACTTCTTTCTAAGGGTCTATAAAGCTTGTTTTCGGAATTTAGGTTTTTGGGATGACATGAGCACCATAGGATGCCGACGTCAACTTATTTCCTGATTTAATTTTAATTTTAATGGTTTATGATCGTTAGAGTAAGGTTATTATTATATTTTCAAGGTCTTTGAGATTTTATTGGTCTCAAAATTTAGATTTTCACATTTTCCTTCAGATTTGAAACACAATACCACGAAGGGACGCCAAAATGGAGTAAATCAAGGCGAGATTGTCGGCCTCATTCGCGTGAAGTGTCTTTTGAATAGTTCAGGCTCCTCTGGGGATGTTTACATCTTCTTTTTGCTTTTTGACGTAATATTTCGGGGTAAGCTTTATCAGGTGAAATCGGTGCATATACAGAGGTGAAATGGGGGCGATGTGCAAAGCATTGTTTTCTCGAGTTTTTCGGCTTCTACTGGGTCTCATGAAGGCGGCTGTGCAGGTGGCGTTTGCCGTGGTGGTGCTTGTGGCCGTGGTTGTGGTTGTGCTTATGTTGGCCTGAAAACCGGGCGGTGGGGGATGGGCGTGAGCGTGGGGCGGGGGTAGTTGCGTGCTTTAGAAATTTTAGATTGCACTTAGTGAGGTTCAGAAAAGAATCTAGATTTCTCTACGGCTTTATATTTTTTTACAATGATTTTAGATATTCTGCTTCGTTTTACAAACCTTGTGTGTTCTTGTAGGGGTCGTTGTAGCCGTTGGGCTGCACACCACCGCCAATACCGCCGTTATTGTATCCTGAAATATGCGTTTTTAGCTTTTCTAACTTTTTGCAACGATTTTTTTGCGTTTAGTTTTGCAACTACTTACCAGCTCCACCTCCAATGCCGCCATTATTCCATCCCGGTTGCGCGCCGCCGCCAATTCCTTAAATAACAAATAGGTTTTGTTGATCTAGTTTTCTATAATTTTCAGGCAGAGCTGGCCTTTTTTTCACATTTTAAAACCCCTACCATTATTCTGGTAGACGCCGGTGCCCTGGCCGATTTGACGGCGATTCCTGGCCTCGGACACGAGGAGCATGGCTAAATTTGTTGTCATTAATATTTTACTGGCCGCTCAGGATGTTTCGGTGTTTCGATGCTCCGATTTTCTCCAGAAAACTGTCCTACAAAAACGCACCTGCCAGGAGCGCGGCGAGGAGCACGAGGTTTTTCATGGCGACTCTGAAAAGTTGACTTTTAGGCAGAAAAAAAAAGTTTTGCTATTTGGAAATTAAATTAGAAGGAAAATTACGTGATTTCGATGGCTTTGAGCTATAAGATAGACTTTGAGGGTCGGTTTCCTTTGTAATAAAGTTGAAAGGTTAGATTTTTAGGGAGGAAAATAGCGTATTTTCGGGGTTTGAGTTAGGCTCAACGTTAGAGAAATAGAAAAATTTAAATAAAGGAACTTTTGAAAGGTCTTTTGGATAGAGTTTTTAGAAGGTGTTGAAAATTAAAAATTGTAACTTTCAAATTACGTATTTTCCAGGTTAAGTGTCTGATAATTTTTTGTAAAAATTAGGTTTAATTCGTTTTAGGCGGGTTAATTTCATAGAATTTAAAATCATGTCCTCAAGCTTAACACCAAAAGCATGAGGGACAGATCAAAAGCGCGCCGGGCGCATCGGCGCTGGCTGTTTGACAGCGTGGGGTCAAAGCTGGACGGTGTTTACACGTTATATAGTGCCTTTTAGGGAAGGGACCGGGGGTGGCTGTCAGAAATCGGGGGGCGTTAGGGTGGAGAAGATGGAAAAGGAGAAGAAGAAGTAGAAGAGGGAGAAGAAGAGAGGAAGTGATGACTAGTTCGGCTTTATCAAACCTTTCCCTCGCCTCATGCCCGGGGTCTGCTGATAAGCCGGAGGGCCAGCCGGGGGGTGAACCCGGGCCAATGCAGCATCAAAATGTACACGCGTCTAAGTGGAAAGTCATGGAATTTGTTGAAATATATCTATTAAAAATGGACTCGATCTAAAATTGGACTTTCCGGCATCTTTAAAGAGACCGGAAAGTCAGGGTTATGGATTAACTATGGATTTTCCGCGCACGCTGCAGGGTCGACGTCAATGTTAGCAGTCCATTTCGCAATGGAACGTAGGGCTAAAAAGCTAAAATCAACCGATCTAAAATCCCGACAACCAAAATCCGGATGGGTCAAAACCCCGACAGCCAAAAATCCTGACGGCCAGAATGCCCACAGCCAAAATCCCCAGGTCAAAATCCCGACAAGCCAAAACACCGACACGTCAACATCTCGACAGGCAAAATACCGACACGCAAAATAGATGTTTAAAAGGAAATGGCATTCAATATAGCGTAAAGAATGTGTCGGAATTTGGACCTCGGGTTTTTGAGTGTCGGGATTTATGTCGGCATTTCGGTTGTCGGTATTATGCCTGGAATTTGCCCAGCGCGATGACCTATGCCTTGCCCGTCCTTTTAAATGAAGCGAAAATCGTAAAAAACAGAGAACGTATCTGGAAAATCACATCAAGAGGCAATGGAGCGCGACTCGGAATTTCGTCTCCAGCGAATTCCAGGTGATCAGAACAAACATAACATGACTCAGAGCCTGGTTTCCCGAATTTAGCATATTGTCGTTGTGGTTGTGTCCGAGAATCGCCGCTCGACGCGCGGCTCCTTTCAACGGAAATGCGGGAGATCGCGCGGTGGAATGTTTGTCCGATGTTGTAAAGGGAGGCAGACAGACAAACTGAAGGCACAAATCATGTACGATACGATACACGGAAATGCCGTTGACAGGAGCGGTGTGTAGTGTAGTTGGAAATTCCCAAAGAAACGCTGCTAGCCTGGCGCGTGTGACTTAAGCTAAAACCGCTGTATTGGACCAGAAATGTCTCTTTAAAGGGGCTGGAAAGCATGAAAACATCAGCTTTCCCAAAACATCCCGGCTAGCCTGCCCATTTTCATGCATGAATTCCCAAAGAAAACCGCTAATTTCTACAGTTTTCAGTAATGGACGGCTTCAAGGCGTCACTGCTAGCCTGGTCTGGTCTGGTCTAGTCTGGTCTATTGTACAACCTGAAAAACAAAATAAAACTACAAAGCCCCAGACTTAAGTCTGTTTCACAAAAAACCGCTGCTAGCCCGCCCTTCAGATTCTTGTGTAGATGAACTTGTTGGTGACGTCGGTAGCCGGGCGACGATTTATTTCGACTTAACCCCGCTGATTACGTTACTTATGTTTTGAGTAATGCAACCGCAAGGGTTTCTGCTAATTTTCCAAGATTTCGATTGATTTCCGAAAAGATCTCTGCTAGCTTGCTTGCATTTGACGTTTTCGCCTCCCGTCACACTCCCTTTAATCGCAGCACATAACCCTCTGTTTTCTGACTATTTCACCTCACTTACTCAACAAATGCCAACCTTTTGCGGGTCACACAAAAAATGGAATCGATGTTTCTAATTGGATTTTGGGGGGACGGTCGAGATGTCGGGGCACCTGTCTTCACAGGTGAATCTCGCTTGGGGGGGGGTACGGTAGCCATCTCCTCCGGCCCCGCCCGACCATTACGTCCACAACCCGGAAATTTCATCGACGCTGTTTTTTTCGGTTTTAGCGCTGGTTTGCATACATTTTGACCATTATAATATTTACTAAAGGGACTGGGAAGTGAAGAATTGTCTGAATTGCACTTTTTGAAATAGCTGGAATTGCTAGCTAGCACCGATTTTTGGGGAATTTGGAAGAATTTCGTGATTTCCATGAAAACCTCTCAAAAAATCAAATTGTCTTGGACAATTGGGAGGTGAGCTTGCAAGCCTCATGAGGCTTAGGCTGAGCTTAGGCTTAGGCTTGGCTTAGCCATAGGCTTAGGAATGGACTTAGACATAGGCAGGCTTAGGCTTGGGCCTAGGTTTGGGCTTGGACTTGGGCTTAGGCTTAGGCTTAGGCTCGGGCTTAGGATCAGGCTTAGACTTGGAATTAGGCTTACGTTTAGGCTTCGCCATAGACTTAGCGATAGGCTTAAACATGGGCTTGATCTTAGGCTTAGGTGTAAACTTAGGCTTAGGCTTAGGGGAATGAAAGTTCATGGATTTTTCACTTGCAAGTCCCTTTAAAAGTGCATCAAAATATTACTACTACTTTTCCATGATTTTAAGGTCATTTTTATGCAAAATGTCATCTGTTTTCAAAGTCAAAATCACGAATAGATGCGGCGACGCCTCGGCTGGGTGCTCGTCCTCCTCCTCCTCGCCGCCCTTGCCGGTGAGGCCGACTCGAAGAAGAAGAAGACCACAAACGACTACTCGGCGTACGGCGGATACAGCTACGGGGGCGCCTACAGTGGATATGGCGATTACAGTACGTCCGCCCAAAGATAATAAAAACCGGGAAAATGCAAAAATGCCAAAATCCGCTCGGGTTACGGTAAGTTGAACTTGGTCTTGAAAGCGTTGCTATAATAAAAATTTGAAGTTATTTTTTAGTAATTTTGGGGGTTTATTTTATTTTGAATTCCATAATTTGATTTTTAACACTCTTATAATTTTTAGGTTTTGATCTTTTAAAAATTTTACAATTTGAATTTGGGCTTTAATAAGTTAAAACAATTTTGAACATGACACTTTCTCAAAATCTGGATTTTCCGAGTTTTAACTGCAATTCTCAGCCCATTAGCGTATTTAATGTATTTAGTTTTTGCTGTAAAATCACCATTTATTACGACTTTTATGTTTAAAAAAATGATAATTGTGGAAATTTTGAATTTAGTCGCCTAATTTTTCAAAATGTCTTTTCCTATTTTGAAAATATTTGGCGGAATTTTGTTATAGATTACAGTATCCAAATTACCAAATATTAGCGAATTCCTGTGAAAATCACTGAGCAAAAACCCGTCATCAGCCACTCGGAAATCACAAATTTCCGGAGTGCTACAAATTACCGGGGTCGGCGCCGGCCGAGGGTGTAAATTGGGGCCCGAAAGGATTGTTAGCCCTCAACGCCCGAAATTTACTCAATTTCCTGTGCTTTTCCCTGCGGGACCCCCCTATGGGGCTGTCTGTCTCTTTTCTCGACCAACTAATCGGCTGTAATTTTGGTTTCTATGACGGCCCCCGGGGTCTCAAGCGGCCGTTGGGCTATAATTTTTTGTACCCCCACGATTCGAGGATCAGCTAAATAGAACTATTAGTCATTTACGAAATTTCATTCCGATTTATGGTAATTTTCAAAAATTTTTTGTTTAAAATGTTTTTTTTTGCTAGAAATCAAAATTAAGCCTCCGAGCCCTCCATAGCTCCATCAAAATGAATTTGCATATTTCAGAATCTTCGTGTAATTTGGGGTCCTTGTTCCTTATCGGGGGGGAGAGATTTAAAGACGTTGTAATAGAATTTACTTGCATTTTAGCTAGGTAAAACTATCTAAAGCCTTTACAAATTCTATTGAAATTTTGAAATTGTTGTCGAAAATCGGGATTTATGGTCTAAAAACCGAAATCTTGTTTAATTTCAAAATAACTCAGTAAATTGTTACGTTTATTAATAGTAAAAATACTTTATCTTCGACAAGTTAGATACGCAAAACAAGTTGGGCCTCATAGCCCCCCCGATAATGCAAAAGCTCCTCACTTTTATGCCTTAAGGCATAAAATTAACAACAAAAATACAACAAATTCCGTTTTTATGCGTGCCATGAAAATATGCATTTTAAAGTCATTACGGAGTCAAAAATTTCACTAAAGGCTTTCTCATCCCTTTAAAGTCCCTATTCTCTCTTTCCTCTCTTTTCGCCTTTACTTTTTGCCTCTTACTGTAACCCTCTTTTGGTCGAAGTGGAAATTCCGTACGTGAGATAGCACATCTTGTGCAGAATTTTTTGCTGATTCCGAAGCCGTTTTTAAAAGTTGCGGAACCCCTCAGATTAAAAAGTTATAAGCGTTTTTAATACCCAAAATGCCACAAATCGTTTACTTTAAAACGTTCTAAAAATTCCGTAAGATACTTTTGGGCGGAAAGTAAGCCATTTTCCGGGGTAAAAAAACGTGCTCTTTCGAATGGGCTATCTCACAAACCCGTAGCTCGAAATTTCGAAAATTTCAAAAATCGACCATCTTGGGCAAGGATCCGCCAAAAAAAACTTTTTTGCAAATTTTGAGCTACGGGTTCGTGAGGTAGCCCATTCGAAAGAGCATGTTTTTTTACCCCGGAAAATGTCTTACTTGCCTCCCAAAAGTATTTTACGGAATTTTTAGAACGTTTTAAAGTAAGCGATTTGTGGCATTTTGGGTATTAAAAACGCTTGTAACTTTTTAATCGGAGGGGTTCCGCAACTTTTAAAAACGGCTTCGGAATCAGCAAAAAATTCTGCACAAGATGTGCTATCTCACGTACGGAATTTCCACTTCGACCAAAAGAGGGTTACAGTTAGAATACGGCCGTCCTCCCCGGGAATGTCCCACCGAGACGCGGGGCTGACCTACGACGGCGATTCCGTAGTACACCCCACAACGCCCGATATTTACGCCTTTCTGGGGATTGATCGCGAGATAATGTCCACAAAAACACCAACGATTCCGACAAGTTCCCTATTGACGATGACGACTACAGTAGTCCCATCAACATTCCGGGACGCTACTGTGAGCAGTACGGTCCGGAATTTACTATCGACTACTGTAACCACGGCCCAAGTACAAACTGCAGCCACAGCGATGACCACCAGAAGTTGGACACCGGCGCGTAAGTTGCAGCCAGTCGAAAAAATTGATTTTTGGACCAAGGGGTTCTGGCTACCGGTTTTTCCGCAAAGATTTTTGCTGGGTATTCCGGTATTATAGATTCGTATTATAACTTAAGCGGCTAAAAACCGAAAAATATATTTTTGGATAGTGTATTTTCCCGATTTTCTAATATTTGCTAGATTTGCTAATTATCTTTTTCTAGATCCTCTGATTTAAGTTTTGTAAATCTTCGCTAGCTCGCCTTAAATTTTCCTCCAGCATCTCTGCTAGAGTGCCTTTAGTTTTCCTCCTGAATTTCTGCCAGATTGCCCTGATTTTTTGGCATAATCTCTATTAGCTTACCTCGCCTTCCCTACGACTAGTCGTCATTTTTCCATTCGCCGATCTATAAAACACAAAAACTTTCATTTTTTGGGCTAGGGTACTTTTCCGCAAGTATTCCTGCTAGATCGCCCTTTATTTTGCTCCAAAATCTCTGCAATTTAGCCTTGCCTCCTCGACGACTCATTTTCCATCCCATAAATTACCAATTTCCCACCCCGAAATTGCCCCCTGCAGCCTATCGATTGCCCCAGTTACCGTACCCCCCGGGGGTCCGCCTCCGTTACACTCCGCTCCTCCGGGGGGTGATCTCCAGCTGATGGGGAGAGCATGGTTTCTAAAAAGTGCCCGCCGCGTGCGCGTTCGGGGCCAATTTACACCTGCACGGCTGCGCTTTTTAGTTTTTTTTTGAAAGGCAGCTGCTTTTCCTGGGGTACCGTACCCCAAACATGGGGGCCATTTTCTATTGCGCGCCCCATTCGCTACCGTAACAACCGATCATGGATTCGGTGCCTTTCGATAAGCTGTCAATGGTATTGCCGCCCGACTCGTTCCCCTCGACGCCCGGGACGCCAGGAGGGCCTCCAGCGCGTAAGCGCTGCTCGGTGCGCGCGACCGCGCTGGGCGTGTTTTTCATCGCGGCGATTATCTTGACGCCAATCGTGTTGCGCACCGTCGTCCCCAGATCGTTCAAGGCGGCCAATCACAGTGGGTAGATGCTCATTTTGGGGCGGGATCTCGTGGAATTTCGCTGGATTAGCACGTTCTCGTGGTACTGTTAGCGCCTGAGACATTTGCGTAATTAGGCGCTTCCGTAGCGCGTACCTGAAATTACTAGCTAAAATAAATGTTGTAATCGAAAACTGGGCTTTCCGGCGGGGACAGGTGTTTTTTTGATGGCGACCTTACTCTTGAAAAGTGCTGAAGGAAAATCGATACTTTTCTCGGGATTCTGGAGCAAATTTTAGGGCATGCTAGCCGAGAGCGTTTGGGGAAAGCGGACGAACCCTAAAATTTCCATCCGCAGCTATTTAGCAAAATCTATGATTCTGAATCAGGGTTCTTCTGGAAGAAAGCAAAAATATTAAGTATCTCCCGCTCTCGCTCTCGCACTTTGTCGCTCTCTCTGAAGCTCTCTCTTTCTTTCTCTCTCGCTATCTCTCGCTCTCGCTCACGCTCTCCTCTATTCTCTCTTTTCCTATCTCTCTCTCTCTCTCTCTCTCTCTCTCTCTCTTTCTCTCCCTCTCTCTCTATCTCGCTCTGTCTCTCTCTCGCTCTCTCTTCTACAGCCTTCTGATTTCTTAAGAAAATCCAACTATCGACCAATTACCCCCTACCTGCCCGGTCGCCACTTAGGCGCACACGCAAAAAGTAGCCGGCCGGCATGGCAACCCCGAATTTCCAGCTGCCCTCAGGCGAGGTGTCAGCTGTTTTTCGGCGGAATAAAGGTTGCCCATTGGTCTACAAACATCTGGGAATGAAAACAAAAATGACAAATACAGTCTGGTGGAGCTGGATTTGCAGAAAAATCGAAAAAATGTTGTTTTTCAGCTTTCGTCGACGAGCTGCAGCCGGTGTACGGGGTAGTGTACGGTATCTCGGCGCCGATACTCATCCTTTTTCTCTACTTGACACTTGTTGGGATACGGTACGTGTTTGTAGAGGTATAGAAGATTTGAAAGAAAGGTTAAACGCGTTGAAAATTTAATTAATAAGAATTTTAAGCTACTTTATTTACACTCAGATTTTTTATTCTAAAAATTCACGGATTTGCAGAAGTCTCGACGTGCGGCGATGGCTGGTGGTGCACGTGACGTGCTGGATGATTTGGGAGCTGGTAGGCGTCAGGGGTAGCGTAGTGTAGCTGCGCTTGTAGGTGCAAAGCACCGAGGGCAACACACACTCGCCGTGGGCCGGGTGGTTGGACCTGGGGACCGACGTGAATACCGCTTGGCCGCTTGTTTGTTATGCAGCCTTATTCTGTGGTTGGTTACCTGGATCAGTGCCTTAAAAATAGATGAACATCGACTTTTCACGGTTGTTCTCTCTCCCTTTCTCTCTCTCCCTATCTCTCCTTTTCAGGCCTTTGCCTCCTCTACATCGAGTCCATCGTCACCTCAATCATGTGGGCGTGTGCAGCCAAGGCTCGCTACGGTATCGTCTACAACGCTATTTGGCTGTTCCTCTACTTGCCATTACCAAATGCCATCATCGCCTTCTGCTGGTGGGCTAAGGTGAGAACGACGTCGGCGAGGAGTTCGGGAAAAAGGACTTGAACAAATCACCAGTGTCAAAAACGTCATCAAGGGGTTCTGGCCATTAACTTCTGAATCCTGGCTTGAACCTTAGAAGCGTCAGCAAGCGGTTCAGCGCAATACCGTCAAAAGCTTACCTGAAAGGTTCAGCACATTTCCTCCAAAATATTCTGTGCCACCACGGCGTCAGCAAGGAGTTCGGAAATCGTGTCAGGATCTTATAAATGGATATTTTGCAGTTCAACGCCGACCCGGCCGAGTACACGTGGTGGTACGACCCGGTTGAGGCCCTGTTTTCCATCACCGCCATCCTATCGTGGTTGCTGATGACCATCTACCTGGTCGTCATCCTGGTGTTGTCGCTCGCGCTCCCGTTCTGTTGCCGGAAGCGCAAGGATCCACACCGTGAGGTAGGCTAGCAGAGATCGTTGATAGATATGAATAGCAAGCTAGCAGAGTTTTTTGGGGAATTCAGATAAAATCCAATTTTTAGATGGGCGCATTCCCGATCGGGAAGATGTGGCTGACGCTCATCTACGGGCTGGTGCCACAGGTCGGTCGTGCTCACGGGCTCTCTCAAACACGCGTTCCTTTTCTATCACACACCCTTTAATTCTAGGTGCTGATCATGCCGACCTCCCTCGTCCCGCTGATGACGTTCATGACGACCAACTTCCAGGACCTGCTCCTTAGCATTATGAATTGGGTCACCGGTAATCTATCGCTTCTCCTGTTTTTTAAGTACCAATTTTTCCTGATTATTCTCTCTCTCCCTCTCTCTCTCACTCACTCACTCGCTCTCTCTACCTCTCTATCTCTGGCCCTCTCTCCCTCATCGCCTCATTCAGATCATTTCGATTTCGATCTCGAGTTGCCCAGCGGCCCAGGTAACAAAAAGGAGCACGAGGAAAATTCCAGAAAAATCCTATGTTCTCACAAAAATTGCATGTTGCATCTATTGAATCTTATGTTTTTATGAGTTAAAATCGGTGCAAGAGCGAAATTTCAGGGTTAAGAAGAATAACATCTATTATTGCACACGTCTGGGTTGCCTAAAAATCGCGCCTGGCTGGTGTCACGCCCCCTTTAAACCCTGCAACCGTAATCCACCCTTAAGTTCAAGCAAATTAACACAGCACGAAATATCGTAAGACCGAACGCGTGGCAGGTGCGTTGCGTGTCACCCGGAATGTACGAAGAGAGAGAGAGAGAGAGAGAGAGAGAGAGAGAGAGAGAGAGGGAGAGAGCGAGAGAACAATACGCAACGCATCCGCCACACGTTCACCTGACCACCAGCAAAAACTTCAAAAGACCCAATCTTTTCCAGGGAGCTCGAGTGGGGGCGGCAGCTCGTGGCTGATGACGTACGGGCTAAAGTTCCTCGGCTACCAGACCTACTATGTGCTCTACCTGCCCGTCGTGATGTGCTTCCTTGCGCTGGTGTGCTTCCCCTGCTTCTGGCGAGCGGTGAGGGCTAATTAGACTATTTAGCTGGCTGTTGAAGGAAGAGTGAAACCCATTAAAACCAGTAAAACCAGCAAAAATCTTTTCCTTACAGTTCATCGTCCTCTTGACGTGCGGTCGGCTGTGCGCCTCCAACAAGTCGAAGGTGAAGCTTTGCTAAGGTGGGGAATTGATCTGGAAATTCAGCGATTCGGCAGCAGCCCCCCACCGTCCTACCCGGGAGCTGTTGACGTGAAGGACGGACCGCCAAAGTTCTAAATTGAATTGTTGTAATGTTAATTGAGATCGAGCTAGAATCCAAACTTAAGCTCGGAAGGTCCCGCAACGATTTCCACTTTTTCTGACTTCCAAGTCCCTTTAGCCTACAGTATGTAAATTTTTACAACCCTTGTAAATTATATTTGTCTTCCCTCATCCACCGATCTCTTTAGAAACAAAAACGGGCATCTTTCCGCATGACAACAAATCCCGGTATGAAAAACTTTGCCGATGTAAACTGTTATTGAAATAAAGAAGTGTTAGCCTATTACCGTGTTGTTTAAGAATACGTTGAAAACACAGATACACACTTACCGGGACGGACAACGCCAAAATCCCGACAGAAAAAATGCCGAAAGCCATAATCCCGTCAGGCCAAGTCCCCGACATTCAAAATAGCGACGTGAAAAGGGCCGCAAGGCAAAAATACGGAAAGCCATAATCCTGACAGCAATAATGCCGAAAAACCAAAATCCCGACACGCAAATAGAGCTTACGAAGGCGGTCGCATTCTAACAGCGTGATGAATATGTCGGGAGTTTGGCTGCCGACACTTTGATCTGTCGGGCTCTTCGATTCAGGCATTTTGAGTCTCAGGATCTTGGCTCTGGACTATGACTGTCACGATTTTTGCTGTCGGGATTTTGGTCTGTCGAGATTCACGATGTCTAGATTTTTGCTGCCTAGATTTTCGCTGTCGGTATTTTTATTGTTGGGGTTATGGGTGTCGGGATTTTGGCTCTCTGGACCATGACAATCGCGATTTTGACTGTCTGGACTGTCTGACTCTGAATTCTGAAGTCTGATTTTATATGGAAGAGGCGTGAATCAATGCCATAATTTATTACCCCTGACTTCCGGAGGGTGCGGCCCATCCTTCTTTCCCTCCGTGCTTCTATCCCATCCGGGAGCCGCCAAAATCGGTGATAAGCCGCCGTGTAAACCGTCGCGTCGTCGCCGAGAATTTACACCCCTCGGAAGGGGGGGGGGGCTTTGATAAGGTGCCGATGACGCGCCAATTGATCAGGCCGAGACATTTGCGTTCCAGGGGGGTTGCTTTAAAGGGACCGGCAAGCCTTGGCTAGGGAGTTTATTGGCTAGGACTCCTTTGAGGGCGCGACACGCAACCCTTTCGCCGCTTTTTTATTGCGTAATCGGTTACGCGCCTTGAAGTAACGCCGAAATTAGAAGTGCAGACGTTGTGAGGAGCCACGCGTAGCCCTACGAGATGCGCCGATCGACTGGTTTTCTTATGGATTCTGGAAATTTGAACCCAAAAGGACTAGAACGAAGCGTCACTGTCCCTTTAAAGGCATGGCTGGCTGTTTCCCACCCTCTCTCTCTCTCTCTCTCTCTCTCTCTCTCTCTCTCTCTCTCTCTCGATCTCTCGATCTCTCCTTTCTATCGATTTAGCTCTCGCTCTCTATCTCTCTTTCTCGATCTCTTTCACTCTCGATCTCTCGATCTCTCCTTTCTCTCGATCTCTCTCGCTTTCTCCCTCTCCCTTTCTCTCGCTCCATCTCGCTCGCTCTCTCTCTTCCCCTTTCCAGTCCCTTTAAAGCCCCGAACATTTTTTGTGATAATCAGCTCTTCCATTAACATTTTGCACCTGAAAACCCGTCAATTTATTACCCATAAACAGTTACGATAAATCGTCAGCCGGCAGCCATAGGTCGTAAAACGTTGTAAAAATTTTTGGGGTGCTATTGGTGATAAGGTTTGGATGGCCGGTGTGAAGCTTCTGGTTGGGGTGACGCCCTTCCAACTTCTGCTCGAGATTTATTATATTGTTATGCTTTTATACACTTTTGAGGTGGTAACATAAAAAAAGTTATCATTTAGACCTCAACAATGAGGCGATGGGCCCTGACTTTGGCCCTAATTTGTTTGGTGGCCCTTTTTAGGGGAGGATCTGCTCAAAAATCTTCGGTAAGTGCAAACGTGTAAAATTTAAATTTAGATAGTTTTCTATTTGAAATTTAGCAATAAAATCAAAAACTGGATTTAAGACGCAATTAGGCAGCGCTAGGGATTTTCTTGGCTACGGCTTCCGTCACGATTTTCGGAGGAAATCTGACGCAACGCGCGCGCTTGCGTTTCGTACTCGATTACGTCCTCAAAACCGTAGCAGCGTGTGCGTTGCGTATCCAGCAAAAGGGCTATGAAATACATAGACTTACTCGCCTTACGCGTTCCATTAAATCACGGCGTCTCAGGATTCGACGACAGTCGCAACTACCACCACTTCCGGCTCCAGCTCCACCCCGTCGGATGGGAGCAGCTCAAGTGGGGGTTTTCAGACTTCTAGAAGCCAAAAATCGACCGCTCACGACCACTCGGTGTCGACAACCGTCTGGTCCGCCTAGTTGTCGACACCTAGTCGTTCAGACGGGTCGATTCTTGCTAAACTAGGACTGCCGGCCTGGCTTGAATAATGCTTTCAAAAGGTCTAGGTGCTGTCGATACCTAGTCAGCTATGACGTCGATTTTCCCGATTGTGTTCTCTCTATATAATTTATTAAAGGTTGAGTAATTTCGAGAATCGACCCCCAGCTAGACTAGGCGTCGACGGCTATTAAAAATCGGAAATTTTGGACATTTCGAAATAATTGGATTTTTTTGTGGTTGTCAATTTCACACGAATACGGTCCAACTTTTGACGCTTGCTAATACCTTTAAAAACATCAATATCTTGCGGGGCTACTATGCATTTTGCGTTGTGGAAAGCTTCGGCTACTGGCTAATTTATTACTTTTTTTTAGCCGCCACGAACGCAGCAGTTGTCAGTTCAACAACGGACGCGGTGAGCGGAAATTTGTCTCAGAATTAAATCTCCTTATCTAATTGAATCGAATCGATTTTAGTCTTCGGGAACCGGCGGCACATCTCAGTCAGTGGGAAGCAGCACATCTGGGGCACCAAGACCGTCAACGTCGTCGGGTGTTCCCGTCTCCTTAACATCACCTGGTTCCACACCCACGGTTCCGTCGGGCCAGACAACGGTAGAGCATTCTAAAAATATGCATTTATCGGTTTAGCCATCCGCGGGCTCTACGCAGAGTGGCAGTACATCAAATCCAGCAAGTCCCGGATCCACGGTGACAAGTAAGCGCATCTAAAATTTTCGACTGCGAGACCTTTTTAGCCCAAGCACCCACTACGCAGCCAATAGATGTGGTAGGTCTCGAAATGCAAAAAAAAATACGAAAATTACATTTTGAATTTCCTAAATGATCTTGGCTATAGAGTGGAGCCGAACATTTTCAACTTTGCCTAACGAAACCCATCTTAAGCCTGAAAACCCGTGCTAACTGGCCTTTTTTAGAAAGCCAATAGTTGCGGACTTTTCCAAAAACTATCTATCTGTTTAAAGGGACCTGGAAGCCAATTTAACCTTCGGAAAAATCTACGAGACTTAAAGTTTTAGACTCAAGTCCTCTGGACGGTTCCGCTCGACGACACCGACCCGACGACGCTGTTGCAGCAGATTGCCGCCCTGAACGCCACGGTGATGGGGTGGGTGGAGAGAGAGAACGAGAGAGAGAGAGAGAGAGACAGACAGGAGAGAGAGAGAGAGAGAGAGAGATCCTGAAGCTTCCGAAACTCCCCATTCCAGGCTTAAACAAAAGATCTCGACCCTGTTCGACAACGTGAACGGCCAGAACAACAGTCTGATCGACCAGCTGAACGCGTACAACGTAACGAGTTGGTCATCTACCCTTTTCCGAGAATAATCTCCAAATTACAGTTCAAAATATTGCGCTCGACAGTGACGCCTTGATGAAGGAGATCAACAACTCCAAAATCGAGTTTGCGGCCAGCAACAGCTGTAAGTCGACAACCTAATTTAGGCTTGCTTCAAAGATTTAGCATTTGAAGTTGGGCTTTAAATTTATTTTTGTTGTTTTATGCTACACCGACCTTCATGCTTATAATTAATGGATTATTCCGATCTACGATTGCACCTAATCTTTCTAGTTGCCGCAATGGTGCTGCAGCAGATGGCGTGTATGAAGAGCAGCCCTTGTGCTGTCCCGCCCACCCCGCCCGCACCAAGTATGTCCTTAAAAAGTCGATGATCTAGAACGAGAAACCAAAAGGAAACAAATTCTCCAATCCGGTTGTTTATAGCCGCTACTGCTTGCATCGGAAACCAGGATGCGACGAACAGTAGCAACAGCTTCAGCTACAGTAGTGCCGTAGAATTCAATTGCAGCACGACGGTAGGGATAGACTGGTAGAGAGAGAGAGAGAGAGCGAGCGAGCGAGAGAGAGAAAGAGAGAGTGTGTGAAATCGAGCTTCAAGCTCACCATACAGATCATCTCCCCCTGACGACCCTCTCGAATTGAGCGTCTCGTTCGGCAAGCTGAAAAAACTGACGATCTTGGACGCGGTCTCAGGCAAGGAACTTACTGGGTGAGTCGTATTTTATAAGCTTTAACCCGAGTGGTGTTAGCTTCAAGACGGATGGCAGCCCACAAGAGTTGAAGACAACGGCCGTTCTTGTGAATTATCAGGATGATGACTCTACTGGCGGCCAAAATCTGACCGTTACCTATTTGACTTGTAAGTCGACAATGAAGTTTTCGAACAAGCTTCGTTTGTTCCAGACAACGTCTGCACGGACTTTAAATGCGAGAATGGCGGAACTTGCTTTGTGGACAGTGGTCTCCCGCATTGCAAGTGCGAGATTTGCTTCTCTGGAGAGCATTGTGAAGGTAGCTTTGGGGTTCTAATAAATACAGAGTCTCCAAAAATATTGGCTATTTGGCCCGGAAATACTTGTAATTTTGCACAGGGGATTGCCTTAAATGCCGACGGCGCCATGAGGTCGAGTGGAGGGTGCCGCAATGGAAAAACACCACACCCCCTTCCCCTTGTAACTCGATGCCGAAGTTTCGGACCGGAATACCCCCTTGAAATTGCGGGTTTATAACAAGCTTGAAAACCATGTTTTTTTTGTCTAAATCAGCGGTTGTACAACACATTTACAAAAAGAACGGCCACTGAATCTGATTAAGGGTAACTTCCGATCATTTAGCTTGAAGGAGGTTGGTGAAAACTAACTCGTGTGCAACCCCAAAAACCGAAAATTTTACACAATGAGCTGTAAAATATTTGTTTAATAAAAAATGGCTTTGAAGATTGCTGTAAACTCGTGTCAAAGGAATTTGAATGGGGTAACTATTTATCAATCCGATCCGATACTTTTGCGTGAAACGGCTTTTTCTTCCCTCCCAACCCCCCCAATTTCGAGATTCTGAAATTTCGGCATTGTGATAGTAACCCAAATTTAGCTGAAACAAATCCGTGCACTGGTAGCCAAGTCAACCGCAATTGCAAGGAGATCAATGGTCAGCAGAAGTGTGTCCCAGATACCTCGGGCGGTACTTGCGACTGGAAGGTACGTTTTGCGTATTTAGAGTCGGGGGATGGCTGACGTTTGTTAGATACGAGCGCGCAAGGGCATCCAGATGAATCCCAGGCGAAACTCTGTCAGTAATACCATAAATATTCCACCTGACTTTCAGTGTGAGTGTACGCCACCTTACCATAATCCAGCCGGCGGCAATAACAAGACCTGCGTGGATACCTTGGAATCGCGTTGGTTCCGGTGGTAGACAAACTTGCGTGCCGATTTTGACTCCAGATGCCTTGACGAAACCAATAAACATGCTCCAAAATTGTATTTATAAACGTTTCCTATCGGTATTGTTGTAAGTTGATTGATGTATTATTTTTTTCGCTCATTTTTTGCCTTTCAAAACTTTACTGGAGTTTTGTGTGCTTTTAACGTTGTTGCATGCAGCGTTTCCAAACCCGTTTTCCGGGAGGATCTGATAGCTACAAGAATGTCAGCGATCAGAACTTTTAGCCTGTTTAGAACACAGACAATAGGTCATCGGCCTGGCGGCCAGATCAAGGCCCCTATTGCCGCTTGGTATTGAGTAATGGGGGTACGGTAATTTTCGGGTTTATGGGGGTGGGATGGGGAGGCAGATGAGGCCGGCGGATCGGACTCATTAGACATCGGGTTCATCTGGGAAAACGGTTACGGTAATGGGAAATCTAGATGGCTTTTGTAAGTAGGAGTCGAATGGAAATAGCTCAAAAAAATGGAAAATCTCTCGGCTTGTAGCCCAGAATCAAAACTTATTGCTAAAAGTCTTAAAACTTGAAAAAGTTTAAGTAGAAATAGAAATTCCTATCTTTTTCGATATTTTTGTGTGTACGCTCTTTCCCTATTTACATAGCGTCATGCCATCTTTTTAAGCATGTTCCTGCCATTTCACGCGGGACTCGAACCGATGCTGTTAGAGCGACAGGCCCCAACGCGAATCATGTGATTCACGTAAACAACTCCCCCCAACTCAACCCTCCCCAAAATTTCCCCATTTTTCAATTTCAACACGACCTAGGCTGGGAATAGGTTACTGGAGGCAAAAAGCGGTGGACAGCAATTTGCTACTCAACTTTTGGAGGGGAAGGGCCGTTGAAGGTGCTGGGAAGGAGAAGCGAAAAGATTGTAGTAACCTTAAAAATGGTTTTGCCGGCTCCTTTCAAGGAAGAAAAATAGATTTTGAGCACGAGCTCATGCTTCAAAGGGACGGACATGTAGCACTGGCACGTTCCCGCTCCTTGCAACTTGCAAAAATTAGTTTTTAGCTCATGCTTTAGAGACACAGCTGATGCTCCAAAAACTTTAGGAACGCAATTCGGGACAGGTGGCTGAAAATCCTTTAGACACGTTTCTACAGAGATTTGACCTTCCAAGTGCCATTCATAAATTAGTGCTCCCAACCAGGAGAATGATGTGTGAAAATCAAAATTACGGAGCACCACTCAACTCGATTTGGAGCTTTTCAGATTACGCGAGTGAACGGGTTACTGTAACGCTGCATGCCTTTAAGGACAGCCGGATGTAACAGTACTTTGAAGAAAAGAGTACGGTAGTCGTGCTTCGCACTTCTCTGAAAATTACCTCATAGTCCAGCTTTGGCATAGAGAATCGACCTAGCTTGGCGTCCACATCCCTCTAAAATTCCGCAAAGCACCTATGCACTGTCGAGCTACCCGTATTTTCCCACATTGAGGACTGCGCTTTCTGGGAGACGATCCGGGTTTTCCCTTACCTTAAATATCCGATATACTACCCTTCAATTTAACTCTAGCGCTTCGATTTCACCAATTGACACCATTTTGTGATTTTTCTAGCTTGGTTTCTTTGGACCTTTAGTTTTGCCTTAGAGAATCGATCTAGCTTAGCTTCCATGCTTTCTGCTTCCATTCCTCAATGCACCCATGGACTGTCCCCACTTTTTCCGCATCAAATATTCAACCCAGACCGGGCCAGGCAGCGGCTAGGGGAGCTTCGTCTCCGCCGGCTGCCCATTGTTCGAGGCTTGGGGTGCGCCCCCCTGGGTGTCTCTGTCCCATTTCCTGTTGGCCGGACGCCAGGTGTACGGTCGGTTGGGTGGAGAGAGAGAGAGAGAGAGAGAGAGAGAGAGCCAGTGTCGCCGGTCGCCGTCGCTGGTTCGACCCCCCCCCCCGCGGCCATTGTCTTCTGCAGGGGTGTGGACACGTGACTTGTCCTCTCTCGCTTCCCTTCCCTCGCATTTGCATACACTCGTCTCTCTCTCTCTCTCTCTCGCTCTCTCCCCTCCCTGCGGGCCAGTATGCGACGCCTTATCGATCGGTCGACGGGGTGGTGGTGGTGGGGCAGACGGGATGGATGAGTGGTGCGAATAGGGCGAGGCGGCCGAGCTGTCGTTGATCGTGGCGGCGACAATCGCCGACTAGTACGGCGAAAGAGCATGGAAAATACAGGACTTAAAAAAATCGATGTTTTGTGTGGACTACAGACTACAAACTACAGACGACAATTTATAGAGCATGGGGGAAATTCCACTCCGGAAAGCTTAGAAATTCTTTGAAATAGTCGTGTTTCAACTTTTGCGAGCCGACACCCGGGCCTTAGATCTCTATTCTGGCCTTTTATGATGCACTTCACGTGATTAAAAACGCATTTTTGTGCAATGCTCATTTCATTAGCTAATCGATTGGGCGGTGAAGCCGACTTCAGTTATCATACAATGGACTCGCCTAAATCGGTCCACATAGCCAATGGATGCCTTGGACCCGCCATTCCCCAAGGGGGTCCCGGCTGAACCAAAGGGTTTCGCTCTCTCTCACTCTCCCTTTCTCTCTCTCTCCCTCTCTCTCTCTCTCTCTCTCTCGTTCTCGTCAGGGCGACCGAGAAAAACGAAGAAAAACTGAAAACAAAGCGCTTCGCTGCTTTCCCCCGGCGCATCTGAAGAGCGATAAGGAGGAGAAGGAGGAGAAGATGCCGTGAAGACAGACAGAGAGAGAAACGAGTACCCTGAAATGTACAGTAAAAGGTCTAGTTGTCCTTGACAGAGTTATTTAATTGATTTAGCCAAGTTTTTAGATCGCAAAAAGCTAGGTCCCGTTCTTAGACAGCATTTAGCCTCAGAATCTGGAAAAATTGAACCGTCAGGTGGTTTTTAGGGTACGGTAGCTTGACCGCATCGTGCCTTCGGCACCCGAAGACGTACATTCAATCGATTCCCGCGTCAATTGAAGCGGCACGTCCCTGATTTCCGCCCTGTCACACCCCCTTTAGAACCCCATTATCGATCGATTTCTACTTTCGTACATCTCCATTTTGTTGATCGACCACCTCTCTCTCTCACTCCCCATAGACCCCGACTATTCCATTTCATAAACACACATACACACACTCGCCCCGGGGTGTCCATGGGTGTCCATAGGCTAGCCTGCCGCTACGCCTCTGGGCTAGGGTGGGTGGGGTCCATTTTCCACTCCCCTCCCGATTTTCCCTCGGGTACCCCTGCTCCGACTAGCGCAAACACCCGAGGCTTTTGGCAGCCGGCCAGCGACTCCGAACCCGCCACCCCTATGCCACTCCCAGGGCGCATAGCCCCCGCCTTGGCACCCCGCCAACCCCGTTGCCTCTATCCCCCTTGCCTGCCTCGATGCAACGCGCAAACAAGCCGTCGGGTGAGGGGAGTGGGGAGAGGGTACAGAGGTAGAGGAGAGAGAGAGAGAGAGAGAGAGAGAGAGAGAGAGAGAGTTCTTGGGCGAGGGGGGTGATGGATGGATGACTGAGGAGAGAGGGCAGAGAAACGAGGGCAGAGAGGTAGAGGGTGGGGAGAGACTATGGGAAATTAGGAGGGACAGCGTAGGGGAGGGTCGACCCATCGGGAGAGGGATGAGGGATAGTTGATGTCATAGAGAGGCCAGTGAAACGAGGCTGCTTCCCGGGAAAGGGCGAGACAGTGGAAGTCGCGCGGAGACCCAGACGAATACAGCCACAACAGCGCAATCCACGGGTTTAGCGACGCCTGGCGAGAGAGTGAGAGAGCAGGCAGCTAGCCGAGACGCAGACAAGCAGAGAACCAACGATGTGAAGACACCCAGTTGGCGATAGCCCCCCGAGAGAGCGCAAAAGCCTAGAGGACCTTGCCGATCGTAGAACCCACAGCCGCATCGGAGAGCCCCCGACGACGAGCGCGTGTTTTCGCCATACGGCCGAGACGACGACACTCGGCCCTCTGCCAACAGAGACGAGAGAGTGGGTGCGGCGTGGAGAGTGGGGGAGGGCAGAGCGGCAGCCCCGGACGCGACGACCCGGCCCGCCCGGCTCCTCTGCGACCAGCTCCAGCACGACGGCGCCCACCCCCACCCCGCACACGTGATCGCCTGAATATTACGGGGGCGGCGGGCTGGAGACGGAGAAGTATCGATTGGAAACTGGGTGGAAGGGGGAGGGGTTAAAGGGAAGATGACAGGGGGGAGGCTTTGGGCTCCAGACTCCAAGTATCGATCGGAAAGTTGGAGGATGGTTTTAAAGGGGAGGGGGGTTAGCGACATAGACGCTCCAAGTCAGTATCGATTGAAAATCTAGTACCTCAGAGAACGCCGTGGAAAACCAAACCGACCGATATCCCTGAGAAATACATGTCGTGTACTATTGAGAGCTTTTCTCTGGGCGATAGCAAGCTCATCTCCAGGTTTATTTCATATGCCTCTACTCCAGGAATATACGATATGTCAATCACACCGTCGCGTGGATGCTCCGGGACCGGAAAGGAGTGGGTGTAATGGGTTGTCATGTGGAATCTTTTCAAAAGGAGCAGCCCGCATGCACACGGGGAGAAAGCCCGGCACGATCGATCGGGGGGCGACGATGCGACGGCGTCGGCCGAGGGATAGCAAATCGATACCTGAGATACCTTACTGATAGGTTTGCTGTCCGGATCTGTGGTAGTCTTAAGGCTATCGGGTTCCAAAATTGGACTTAATCTAAGGTAGGATACTTCGAAGATCCTACTTAAGTTTAAGTTTAAGCATTCATAAGTAATTTGTAATACCCAGATCCCTTAAAAATTCAAGTTGTATCCGTCCTTAGCCACACCACACTACTTACTATAACTAATTTCGAACAGGATTCCTAGAACCAACCAATTTCTCTGTCGGTCTCTCTGACTTTCGCTCTGTCACTCCGTATTTCTGTCTGCCAATCTCAAACCTGCCATTCAATCACTCCAATCCTTGTCGCGAAATCAGGCTTTTC